CCGAGGCAGCCAAGGAAGGTGTGTGGCTCAAGAATTTTATTACTGAGCTTGGAGTGGTTCCTAGCATCAAGAACCCTATACCGTTGTTTTGCGACAACAATGGGGCAATTGCACAAGCGAAAGAACCTCGGTCTCACCAGAAGACCAAACACATCGTTAGACGTTATCACATCATACGAGAAATCGTTGCACGTGGGGACGTTGAGATTTGCAAGATAGGTACAGACGACAATATCGCGGATCCGTTGACGAAGGCTTTGGGAAAGCCTAAACACGAGAGTCATACGTGGTCCATGGGCATTCGAGAAATGCTTGATAGGCCTTATGGCAAGTGGGAGATTGTTGTATTTAGGTGCCCTAGCGGCAATCAAATACCTATGTAACTGTACACTTTATCATGAATGAAAGGCCTTGAAGTATGTTTTATATCTTGTGTAACATAACATAGCTTCAGTCCATAGACGATAGCGCTTCAGTAACATAGATGAAGACTACGATGTTCTGATTATGAGACTGTTACTTCTTGACAAATGCTATGTCTAGAATATCCTTATTCGCACCTTATGATAATACGGACGTCATAACGTATCAAGACTAGTACGTACGAGATGAGATAGTTGCGTCTCATAGACTATAGGTATTGTGATATCTTAATCTGTACGTAGGTGCATATTATATTGATAATATGTGACTGGATTGACCCATCTTGAGAATACTGCATGGACCTACAGTAATGTGTTTATGAGTATTCTCAAATCGACCTTGCTATAACTATCCTCAAACTTGAAGTTATTACATTCTCTGATATGTGGGGCCGTATGCTTTGATTCATAACTAATGCTATCTGAAATACTGGTAGACGTACAGTTATGCGTTGGGTATGCAGCTAAGCATATTTAGAGATGTGAATAACAGATACAGGATCTGTCCCTTCTACTGTATAAAAGTATAATGTCAATGGGCCCACTGAATAGTAGGACATGGGAAAGTGCATGGCCATGCCCAGATATATCGCTATCTAGAGACTGATAAATATCTACTTGAGATTGAGTAACAGCTGATTTAACTATACAAGGATACAAATCCCATGCCTTGTGTTAAATCATGACATTTAGGACAGAAGGATAATAGTTATAGAATGTCTTGTGTCGTAGAAGGTATTGATGAGATGAACGTGTTTTTCATAATCTGGGGGTAATAATGTGTTGCTAGATACCGCTTATTATCTATGGTATTAATTTTATTAATATCATTGCCAGTGTTATGGATACCTAAAGGGTCACACACTTAGGACTTGTAAGGTAGTAGTATACTACACCAGTGGGAGTAATATTAAATATATATAGTTGTGATAATTTTATATATATATGTATTTCGAAAATACATATGTACTTTAAAATTATATTTTGTTTGTGTCATTTTAATTATATGATAATTATATTTTGACAAAACAAATTATATTATATATATATATGTAGCGCCGAATGTGTGTATACATATATATTATTTTATTTTTCATCATTTTAATTATATGATAATTATTGATGTCAAAAATAAAATATGATATATTTCAAATATGGGATGACCAAAATTTCAAGAGAAAAAATCCAAGACCATTTTGATTTTATACATAAAGTATTTTTAATGTCAAATTGATATATTTGATTATTATTTGATGTAGGGATTCTATTTTGTTTGGTAGCTAAGATATTAAACATTTACACATGGTGTTAAGACATATGCATGTACTTATGCTTAACATTAATTTCCTAGCAATTTCCTAAATATGCTTTATTATAAAATGAAGTCTTGATTTTTAATAAAAAGACCTCAATTTTCGGCCATCCCAATTTTAGAGAGAAAAAAATTATATTTTGTGTTCAAAATTATTTTTCTAAAGTGTTAGAAATATACAAAAAATATTATAAACAAATATTTATAAGATAAATATTTTACTATATATTTATTACTCCCAAAGTAGTATTATTATAGTTTTACTATCCTATATTAAACTTGCTAGCACAAGTTTAATCTTGGACTCCGGAGCAAATTCGTGTGGATACGTTGCAGGCTTCATACGTTTGGCGCTACGTTCATCTCCTCAAAACCATCCCCGACCGTTCCTCCGTTCTTCGTTTTCACCGTTTAGGTAAATTTCTTACTATAGCTAGTAATTTACGTAACTTGTTCTTGGGTGGAATCGAGTTTTGGACTATAAATTTTTGTTTTCCGCTGTGTTATCCAAGCCTCGTTTCCAACAAAGACATCATCACCAATTTCATCAAGAATAAATTTTAGTACTTCTTCAGGAAAACAAGTACAAATATCTTTTTGAATGCTTGGAGCCACCATTTGATTATTTCCAGGAGCGTTTGTCAATGTAACATTACGAACAGACTCATTTTGATCTCGAATCAATAGAATAGTTTCCAAAAAATTTCCTCTAAAAAGTGATGTTTCTGACTCATCATGACCTTGGAATGGTAAAGAACATTTCAATAAAAATCTACAAGCATCAATGGAAGCATTTAATCTAATCCGATAGTCGTTCTTCACACGATCGCTTTGCTTATGAAGAGCAACAACAATAGATTGGTTTTGTTTCATTAGATCTTCACATTTTTTAAGCGCTCTATTGTGAAAACTATTCACACCACCCACATGATGTCCAAATCTCTCAGTTTTGTTCCAACTATTAAAACCATTAATCACAAAAGCATCACTACCACCATGTCTTCCAAAATGATCTCTAAACAAATAACAACACAAACAAAATGCCTTGTCCACTTTCACGCTATACTCTAACCAATATCGATATAGATCAAACCAAGATTTACAAAAATGTCTTGCGCTATTTCCTATCATCCTTTGAGGGAAGTCATGACCACGCGGTTGACATGGTCCTCGAATCAAATATTTTCTTCTTATTTCATCTCTTTGATTCGGATGATAATTTGAAATTCGCTTTCTTTCGGAAGGATCCCATGGAAGATCATTCAAGTCAATTTCTTTAGGGATTGAAGGGGTAGTTGTATGCTAAAATGTATTAGCATTGCTAGATGAAGCGGAAGATGATGTTGGTGGGTCTTTCCGTTTCAAAAACTTCTCCATTTTCCTATATATTTATACAATTATACATGTATAAAAAATAATATGAATAAGTCATTACAAAATTTTATTCTTTTTAATCCATAACTACATAAAAAATACACTATTTTAGTCGTGTTAAATGCAATTTCACAAAATAATCTCTTTAAAAAATAAAAAAATAGTCCTAACTCCTAAAATTTTACTTTTTTAGACCTAAGTTTATGCAATATGCTTTTCCCCCTCATTTCCTCATATTTTTCTATTATCTAATTCACCATTAAATTCAATTTCAAACCATATTTATAATCGCACATAACCTAGTTTTTTGACAAAGAGGGCAAAAAAAATCAATCCAAAAATAAAAAAAATTGCGTGGAGACAGAGGATTGATCAAGTAAGAAGACTGAAGAATTACCTCATAAGATGATGATTGATGAAGTATGAAGATTGAAGATGGAAGTTGGAACTAAAGGAGGCAGAATCGCAGGAGTTGAAGCAGCAGAAGTGAAGTCCAAGAGTCAGAATCGCAAGAATAAACGCAAGTGGAGGCTGTGGAGCAAATTTGCTTAAGGAAGGTTTATTTACATCAATTTTGATTTTGGACTGGGCTTTATTGGTTAAATTTGGATAGGGCTGTTATTATTTTAAAAATTGTGGGACTTGGGTTGAGTGTGAGGTGGGGGCAATAGTAAAATTTCAGAATTTTAGTGGGGGCAGCCCTTAAATAATTTCTAAAAATAAAAAAAAAATTACTTAAAATTTAGATTTGACTGGGGGTAGCAGCCCCCCCTAAACATAGCATGGATCCGCCAGTGGGCGTCGCCACCCCAATAATTTTCATGTCATATATGTTTGTTGTAAACACACGGAAGCAAAAACTATAAGACAAATAGTCCCAAAAGTATAGTAGAGGCTGTTTTCGGAAGTACCCTTAGGAACAAAGATAGCATAGGGTGAACAAATTTGTTTACATACAAGCATGTACTTCACATGTTGCAGCAGCCGTTGCATCAACAATAACAGTTACAGATTAATAATTCCACGCCACTGCATCAAAGACTGTCTGCCTTATACAATTTGGTGTTTGGACACCTAAACAAGGTGTAAGAAAGTTAAGATTCTTCAATACAGATAAACATAAGGAAAGCTCATGTTCTTGGCAGAAGTAGAAAATGTAGAAATTTTATACAGAGGAAGAATACTACGAAGCGGCATCAAAGAGTTTGTAAACAAAGAACGAGTCAACAACTTAAAATATTATAACGAATCGCGTAGAATGCTTTCAAATGAAAAGTTATTTTGGGGTATACCAAAATACTTTAATCGGATAAGACATTAATCAAGAACAAGCACATCGAAAATCAATCCTCAACCATATCCGCGTATCAATACTTATAGAAACGAAAAACCATGAGCAACATTCGTGTAAAAAAGCAAACGTTTGCGTGAAGAGGTTCTTGCGGCTTTGGGCCAATTATGGACGTTTATCCATACATCCAATTTCTTAACGTTTTGGGTTTTATTCACGAAAATCTGAAGGTTTTTCATAAAACAATAATGTCGAAAATAAATCCCGGACAAGGGCTCTGCCCCTTGGACCCTACCATGGTTGTTAAGTCAACAAGTCGTGTCAAGTCAGCGACGATGAGACTAGTGGACTAGTCGACTAGTCGACAAATCACAATTAGTATTGAAATTTTTAACATTATATATATCTTTCTTCACCCAAAATAACTATATATATCTAAATGACCAAATATCATTATCAAAGCAAAATTACGTTTAAAGATAGCACATAAAGTCACACAACGAAGAGTACATAAGAAAAAATATTTTTCAATCTTCAAAAATAACACACCAACAAAGATAATTTGCACAAAAAAAGTCAAAGGACATATTAAAATATTTAATTCCAAGTTTTGAGTTATTAAATATCATCATCCAACATTATGATAGAGAGCCTGTGAAGATGTCGATGAAAGTGATGGAAGATATCGATGATGGAGCCAAGGAGAGTCGCGACCTAGGAAGGGTTGAGTCTAGATTGTCGATTCACTGGATTGCGTCGAGGGAGGCTATCTTTTATCATAAATTTTAAAAATTAATGAAATTTGGGTTGGGTCGGGTCAAATTGGGTTGGTTCAAATTGGGTTAGGTCAAATTGGGCAATTTTCTTCACCAACTAGGCGTCTTCTAGGCGCGCCTAAGCGTCGCTTTACTCTCCCTATCATCTAGTCTGCCCTAGTCGCTAGTCGAAGAGCAAGTCGCCAATCCAAAAATGCCTGGACGACTAGTCGGCGACTACGACTTGACAACACTGGACCCTACCAAGCGCTGCCGCCTCCGAACCCCCATTATGAATTTGTAATATTGTTAAACGAGCGTATACTCCACAACTCCTAACTCGTTTGAAAACGTCTATACAAATTTTTGTTTGATCTAAGCAAACCCAATTACATAAAATAGTCGAGGACAATAAAACCACCAACATAAATATGTCAAATTTTTAAACTGACCTTGCCAAAGGCCTTGTGATCTAGCGGCATAAATGTGCGTATTCCAAATGGAAGGTCACATGTTCGAATCCCAATGTGGGGACATTGATTCTTTGTGCTTCATGAAGTTGAGAAGTATGTATACACATACTACATTGTAATATAGTAAAAGTAGTAAAAAAATCAAACCATGTTTGGGAGGAGAATTTTCAGTTTGCATTTTGGACTTTTTTAATGGTACACATTGATTTTGAGAACACTAAACGTTGTTGTTAGATAACTATTTCAAAATGCTAAACCTAAAGGTTGAAGTGTTTCCAAACGGGCACAATGGATATGAACCTTAAAAGGAAGTCAATATCTTATATGGCGAGTGATATAGTAAGTTTTTAATACTTCGACTCAAACTATCATGTACAAAATCTAAATGGAAGTTGATTAATACCGGTGATGGTTAAGCTGGTAATCGCATTGGTTTGAAGATATGAATGGAGGTTTGTGTTAAAGAATGCGCTAAAACGCGTCTTTACCAACTTGTAATTCCCTTCCTTGACAACAAGCCCTTCCACGAGTTCAGCACCCACACTCCCCTTGGTAGTTGTTTTGGCTTCCCAGGGGAGTACAAGTATCTTCGAAACAACTCCACATCTCTTCCGAATGGATCATGCTCACGCACAAACTGCTTGGTAAAGGTAGATTTGGTTGAAAAAAGAGAAGGATTGTGATATTTCTATAACAAACTTGTACATCAGCACCCACAGAAAAAAACATTATTTTCACTAACATCCCTTGCGCGTCTTCATCTTGTGTGCGTGCATGCACTACTAGACACCAAATTCCTTAGTCATTTTTGGATGACTCTTTGGAGAAAGTTGGGTACTAGACTCAAGTTTAGTACGTCTAGCCACCCCCAAACCGATGGACAAACCGAGGTCACCAACCGCACCCTTGGAACTCTCCTCCGAGCACTCATAAAGAAAAATATCAAGCAGTGGGAGGAGTTACTACCACACGCTGAGTTTGCTTACAACCGAACCCCGAACAAGACTACCGGACTATCCCCCTTCACAATTGTCTATGGTTCGAATCCCTTGACCCCACTAGAGCTTGATCCTATCATAACGGATACCAAATACAGTTGGGAAGCGGACGAGAGATCTAAGGCGATTCAAGACCTACACAACAAGGTCCGGGACAGAATTGAAGCTATGAACGAGAGAGTAAGTGCACGCATCAACAAAGGACGGAAGGACGCTCACTTTCAACCGGGCGATCTTGTATGGATTCATCTCCGGAAAGAGCGTTTTCCGACAAAACACAAATCGAAGCTGTTACCAAGAGCCGATGGACCTTTCGAGATATTGGAGAAGGTGAACGATAATGCTTTCAAAATTAACCTTCTGGGAGACTATGGAGTATCGGCCACATTCAACATCAAGGACATCAACCCATACTTCGAGCCTGAAGAACTTCCGAGTTTGAGGACAAACTCTTCTGAAGAAGGGGAGGATGATATACCCCGGGTGACTACCAACGACTCTAAAGTCGTTAAACAAATTAATGGAATAATGGCTAAGTGTTACGATCCCTTTTGGGCCGAACTTATGAGTTATAAAACCCGCAACATAGCCATAATATCCCTGAGCCCAACACCCATCTAAAACCAAGTCTCCCTCACCAAAACGAAGTCCCAAAGTATCCAAAAGCTAGCCCAAAACTACATTTGTTTTTCTTTCACCCCTGGCCGAAAAACATCCAGCCCAAACCCATGCCATAACCACACTTTGCTTCCCCAACTAGGCTGAGCAAACAATCACTAAGATCCAAGACACATTGACCCACACCCACACCCTTCAACCCCTCTTTGTTTCCCCCATTTCCAACCTAGAAAATACCTCCAAAATAGCCAGCCCATTTTCCCCATTAACCCATTCTCCTGCCCAAGAACACCCCACCAAAAACCAATCAAATAATAAATAATGTTCACATATTCCTCCCCACCATTAGTGTCCAAGAATCCTGCCCTACAGGTACCCACACCCCTGATTTTCTCCCCACCAAAGGGACATCCACAAGTGGCCATTATTTCATTTAATTTGTGAACAAGAGACTTGGTAGTCTCCCTTTTATCTTTCTATATAAGCTCATCCCTGAGCATTGTAAGGATACATTGTATTCCATTTTAAATCAAAGTGATTCACTTGTGTGATTCATTTCAAATTCCTAATCCTATATCTTAAGAGTGGTTCTCTTGAGTGTGAGTTTTAGGTTCTAGTTATTTAAATAAGTGTGTAATATGAGACTTGGTAGTATCTTATTGGAATGCTACACTCAACCCCAAGTTAAGATAAGGGTGTGTGATATCTCTTAACACCAACTTGGTTTGTTCCTCTTCCCAAAAAAATACTTCTTTTCCTTTCCCGAGCCGCCAAATAATCGATTATCACTATTGGCAGTCGAATATCCATCCTTCATAAAACCCCCGCAGCCTTCTGTAATCGATTATCAGTATACGACAATCGATTATCAGCTTCCCCAGAAAATCTGCAGCCCACAATAGTCGATTATCACCTCTCTGTCAATCGATTATCTATCGCCTCTGAAACTCCTTTAACTTCTCCACAGAAACTGAACCATATGATAGTCGATTTTCATACTTGAATAATCGACTATTCCCCCTTCCCTGCAATTTAAGGAGTTTGTTCTTAAACTTAAGCCTAATCCCGGAGCTCGGGTACAACATTTGGTATCAGAGGTTGTTGTCGAGCATCCTCTTCAGGCCAAACAACACACTTCCATTCCTTTTCCCCTCTCCATAAACTACTACTTTATTCCCTTTTCATCTCCTTCCTTGCTATCATGTCAAACACATCCAACAACCTTTCCAACGAAGAACCCCTAGCTTCCAATGCCGCCCTCAAAGCCCAAGTTGAGTACTTGGCAAAACAAGTTGCCGAACTCACCAAGCTCAAGATGAACATGGTGAACACCCCGGAGGAAAGCAATGAAGAAGAAGAGGTTCCTCTCGAAGATAACTCTAGTAACACCGCTAGAGGAGTTTTTAATACTTCAACTCAAACTATCATGTACAAAATCTAAATGGAAGTTGATTAATACCGGTGATGGTTAAGCTGGTAATCGCATTGGTTTGAAGATATGAATGGAGGTTTGTGTTAAAGAATGCGCTAAAACGCGTCTTTACCAACTTGTAATCCCCTTCCTTGACAACAAACCCTTCCACGAGTTCAGCACCCACACTCCCCTTGGTGTATATTTGGAGTACACAGTTTAATTGGTTATAATTTGCCACATGAAGCTTACAAATAATATATATTTGTTTTGATAGATGTTGTTTCTATATCAATATTTGTTATATGACAACCCACTAAGTAATAAATTTGATAATTTAAATATTTCTGCATGTTCTGCAATACCTACTAAATTTTCCTGCTCGAATTCTTAAATCTAAAAATGTTATTCAAAAGCTGCATGCATTTCTCCATTTGTTAATATTCCTTAAACTTTTGTTTCAAAATTTTGACCAATTTGTAGTATTTTGTTTTAGTATTAAATTGTGATAACTAGCAAATTTAGAACACCTTGTACTTTAAACTTGCAAAATGTAGCCACAACTGATGCCAAGTGAAGGTTGTGTAAACACAAGAGAAGGGAGAAACGGGTGTTAACCTTATCTTCCATTTGTAGTCAAAAGAAGTAAGCCAATAAAGCGGATGACTTATCATTACATTCTATCTTTTTAGATGTTAAACTAATTTTGAATGGTTGGATTAATAATAATAATAATTTCTAGCTATTTTTGTTGTTGGTAAGAAAAAAGAGTAAGCCAAAAAGAGGATGAGATATCATTATGTTTCTGCCCGTAGACCAATCTGGATTCTGTGGCCTAATTGCATCAGTTGAACAAAATATTAGTATGGCTACCATTTTTTAGCAGCCAACAATTTTCCAGGTTCTTTCATATTTGTCTGATGTTAGTAGTCATGTCAGGCTCGGGCGCTAGGCATGGGAGCAAATTTCCAGAGGTGAAAATTCAATTGATTTGCACGTTGAGCTGAAAATTTATCTTGAACTAATCAGTTAAGCACATGGTGTCTATATTATATATTTCATTGGTTTAAAGACAACAATGACCTTTAAGAAATGTTATACATACAACTCTTCATATGCCCCACACATGTTAGCTTCATAAAAAGTCACCTTCATTACACAGATACAAGACTAATCTTCTTTTCATAGTTCTATTACCTATGATAACACATTATTGCTTTTTGATCTATTGTTATTTTTTATGTTTTGCAAGTTTTTTTAAACCTACCATCTTGGGTATGGGTTTCTATATGTCATGACAGGTTGCAGATTCAACAATTAAGGGTTCACTTGAGTTTGCTATGTGTCATTGAGGGTAAGAAATTATTAGCTTAACTTTTGTTTGATCTGTCTAAATCTTCATAGTCATTTGTTGTTGCCTACACCTATCCCACTGGTTGCACACCCAAAGACATTCATAACTTTATAGAGTATGTTTGGAGAAAGGGCTTATGTTTTTTTGTTAATATTTCTACTTTGCATGACATTAAAGCAAATCTCATTTATGATTTTTTAAAAACACTAACATTTCATGGCTTTTCCCTTCACCTATAAATAAATTTATAAAACTACATTATGAACGCTGGTTATAAAAGTTGCCTGATTACAATTTCACAAGATTTAATAATAGCCATGTTTGAAATACAATTCGGATCTCTTTTGTTTGACATATGAAATTGAATAACAAAATAGAGAAGTGCATCATTTTTTTGTTCTTTCGATTTAGTGCACAAAGATTAACTACTTAAACCAACTCTACTACATTATAACATCTATTGTACTGTTACTTTTGTTTAATCCTGGCTTTTGTTTGTTTTTTGCAAATTAAAGGATTTTATTTATTTCTCTAACAAAGATACCAAGAGTTTACATCAGCTGCCAAAGAGGCTTTAATCCATGTAAGCAAACCCATCAAAGAAATAAAATCTGAAGTTCAAGTTCTTTCTTCCTCTTTACGTTTTTTAGCAAGCAGATGTGTAGGCTGATTCCTACTCTTGGTATGCGATCCACTGAGGCTTTCAAGGTCTTCAACAAAAGCGCTAGCATGAGCACAACACAAGAAGATGAGAGAATACAATGTGAAGATCTCTAGCAGGTTAAGTAGTGCTCAATATCATTTTTATTTTGTGTGAGTGGTATGTAGAAGAATATTACTATGCTCAATATTATTTTTATTTTGTGTGAGTGGTATGTAGGTGAAGAATATTACTAAAGAAGACTCTTTGCACATACTCCATCATCAAAGCAATGGGTTTTCTACAAGGAGTTCAAGGTACAAAGGAGTTAGAGTGCTCAAATGTGGACGACAGGAGGCTAGATTAGGGCAATTCCTTGGGAAGAAGTAAGATGTTATAAGCTTTTAAATAATGCATGTTCTTATTTTTTAGCTTTTCGTCTGTATTTTTGTTTTCCAATGTTTTCACTGTCCATAGAAGAATGCCATTCCCTCTCTTTCACCGACCTTTGGTAGAGCCGATGGCTTTGAATTTGCATGTCGTTGAGAACCAGTTCCTGTAATTGATTGTAAGTGATTGTGAGGTTGTTACTTAGTTGTGGCTTGCAATCAAAAGGGTTTCAGTTTGGCTTTTATATTTGTATAAGTTGTTTGTGTTTCGAGTATCTATCGGTTGCAGGCTGAAACTTGGCAGTCGCGATTTGGAATCTTGGCTGAGACAGCAAAGACTCTACAGCTGCAGTTCCAGGCAGTAGCGAGAAATGGTAGCCACCTTCGGTGCCTGCCCCTTAAAACTAAGATATAGACTCATTTCTTAACCAATGATTCATTGTTCTCTTTCATTTTTCATAGGCCAATGATGAAACTACCCTATCAGTCATCGGAATGACGGAATCTTGCAACCTTCAAACCCATCTTCTTTATTTTACCCTATCACCTAATTGTAAGATTTTTTAATCTTTATTTACACTTATTATACTCAGTATAAATTATGGTGTAAAAAATGCATAATGTAAATAAATGATTTTATATCTTAGTTTTTACATTGTTGTAGGTTTGCTAATTTTCAAAGTATCACATATCTCTTATTGACAAATGATTATGAAAATGGTGATTTTTTAGGTTGTTAACACCATTTGCAGCGTCTATTTTGTGGTTTCAAGCCTCAAAGTCATGATGGACTTGCCTATGATATTAAATTTTACAGTAACACAAACTCACAAGGGATTCAACATTGTTAGGGTAACAAGGGATTCAACATTGTTACAGTAACTTGCCTTTCATTCCGTTTAATGAGATTAGTCATTTATATGGTTTATGAAACTTTTTTTTAATGTAGAAATATCATTAAAATGTTTATAACATCCTCATCTTTCAGGGGTAAGAGTGAGGATGTGGACTTAAGTAATCAAATTGGTAAAGTTCTTGACTATTAGCCTGTGAAGACTCTGACTGAAACTTTGGAATAAAATGGCTGAAACGCCGTACTAAGTGGGCAAGGGGTCACAGAAGGTTTTCAAGCTCCATTGTTTTGAAAGATCCATTGTTTTCTTTATAATATCATGCAATCATTTTTTCCCAACAATATTTTATTTGTATTTTGTTACCATCATTTTTATTTTCTTTTTTGGAATGAGAAGAAATGGGGAGCAAACATGTTAAAGAGCATCCCACATCGGAAAGGTGTGAGGAAATTAATCGATATATAAGCTCTTGAGTTGAACTAACTAATCGATTGGATAATCTTTTAATGTGGTTAAGCCCAAGTGTCTTATTGCCCCAATCTAGTTATCCATACCCCATCCTAAATTCTATCATGGTATCAGAGCAGGTTTGGCCCACCTCGTTTGTCAAGGTGTCCGTCTAGACGTTCATTCCTAGCGGCCCGTTTTGCAAGTGGTCAACCAGATAGATTCAAAATGCCCCGATTGTCCACTTGAGGGGGAGTGTTAAAGAGCATCCCACATCGGAAAAGTGTAGCTCTTGAGTTGAACTTGGCACGCGGGAGACCGACGGGAATAAGCTCAAAACATCACATGATAAGACCATTTCTAGGAAGTTATATTCATATATAAATTTCAAAAGGAGGAAAAGAACTATCAAAACAGAAAAGAGGACAAACTATTTTCTTTTTTAATATCTCTTTTTTTCAATATTTTCCCTACAATATAGCAGTCAAAAATCACATAGTCACACTAATAGTCACATAGTCTCTCTATTTAAAAAAGAGTTTTATTCATTAAGTGTACACTATAACACTAATAGTCTTTGCCTTCATTTGTCTACTGTTATCAGTCTCAGTGTATTAACTGTGTTTGCCTTGGTGTTGGCATTTCCATATGGGCTCTCATTTTCCAGGAAAAGAAGACAACCTCAGCATTGACCCAACACCGTCTTCTATGAAACAACTCACGATCATTACCCCTCCTTTTAGGTTTTTGAAATCTATTTCGCACCTGCTGAAGCTGGTTTGCCTCTGTTTTGCTCACTATTAGGATTATAGAGTTCGTAATAATAATCCTGACTAGAATGTTGAATACATCTTCAATAATAAGATTGTCTATTCAAACACACACACACACACACACTTTGTTAAGGACTATAAAAAAGAGTTTTATTATGAACTATAAAAAAGAGTTTTATTATGAACTATAAAAAAGAGTTTTTAAAAATAGAGTTTTATTAACAAGCTTTGTTTTCGAAAGTGATGTGGTGGTAAGGCTTTTTATAATTCCAAATTCATTACTTTGCAGTGATATTGTTGGTATCCACTGAACTGCAAATAAATAACAAATGCAATACTAAGCTAAATTTGAAATGAAAATTAGCAAAATTATTTACAAAGAAAAAGGTTACCAGTATAGGAAGCTAAGGTAAAAGGGTCATTTAGAGTAATAATGTTTCTCTTGCTTTTCTTGAGCTATTGTACATCTAACATTTACTAATGTTTTTGTTTTTTTGTAACTTCTCTGCCCATGTGCAACAATCTGCAAGGTTCAACAAGAAGCTTGGATACTTCTACATCCAAAGCTATATCAATGATAAGGCTAAGAGTCTGATCAAAATTAACACCAAATCCAAAGTGGATGCATAAGCAAAACAGACTAGGTTGCTGGATTAAGATGTCAAAGCCAAAATAGTCTATTGCAAGTGTTTAAAAAGACAAAACAACATCTTCTTGTTCCTATCAGTATTCTACTAAATTTAAAATCCAAAAGCCACTATCATAAATTAAAAGTCCTTACCATTAGTTTGATCAAACCCAAGACCCCAATGACAGTCCTTACTATTTCACATATATGCTATATGTGATGAGAAGTAAATGCCACAGAATGAAAAGTGATGACCCAATTAACAAATCTGCCATAAAGGAGGCCAAAGGAAATAAAAGCAAAATACCTCACATGACAAAAAAATTGATGTCACAAAGCAATTTGAAAGTAAATACCATTGTAAACTACCAACTTGAAGGGAAGAGAAAGCAAAATACCTCATACGAAAAATCTACATGACCTGGAGTTTTAATAAGATTCAAGAAGTATGAATCACCACCATACATGAAACACATTTGAGAAGCCTGGAAGAAGAATAAAAAATCATTAATCAGTTTATCTCAACTGTGGAAGATTGATTTCAGGCATATAGAAGGGAAGTATCTTTTTTTATGGTTTGGATTCATTTTTGTCAGTAGATATTTATGCTTTCTTTGTTTTGACATTCTTTACTTTTGTTCTGACATTCAATCTCATGTTTTTTCCCTATGATAAACTTTATTTCATAATTCATAGAATTGATAAGAAAATTTTTATAGACTTCATTTCATAATTCATAGAGTTGGTAAGAAATTCCAACTATAATGTCTGTGTAATTTATATACAAAAAAAGAGGAGTAAAAAATTTTAAAATTTCAATTACTGCAAATCTACCTAAGTGCGAGGAGGATCAGGTGCGACGGGGTGGTGTCCAAGACTTCATCTCTGCGGAGAGCTGGTCGGTCATCAAAGCAGTATCCCAAATAAAACATACTACTACCTCCTCGTCAATCAACAGCATGTTAGAAGCATCCCACAGCTGCAAGAGCCGGAACCTTGATCATACAGCAACTACCTGCCTTACACGTTAGATTTTGGACTGGAATACAAATCCCTATTTTTTTGCTAATTGAACCCCTGATGATGGGCGCCATGCCTAGACTCTGAATATCACTATTAATATAATAAACACTCCTACCAAATCCAACACTTTACAGAGACAAAGTGTAAAAGAGGTTAAAGAAAATGAACAAAATTACTCTGAAATTCTTAGAAAATCAACCGATTGCACCATGTCCGAACTAATTGAGATCCAATTTACCTCTCCAGAAACAAATGGAAATTACCTGAAACATCAACAATTTTCACGAATAGGAGTAATTAGAATATCATTCGAGTAAAAAAACACTTCGTAAATATATTCGGAGTAGCTGAAGAAAATCTTGGGCTTTCTTAGGTTAGGAGATTTGATGTTATGACACCGAGCTTACCTCGATGCGCGATGCGCGCGCATCACGAACACAATGCGCGCGCATCACAAACACAATGCGCACATTGAGGCATAAGTAGCATAGCATCTCTAAAAGAGTAATAGTACATATAAAATGTTGAAAAGCATACGAAAACCATAGAAAGCAACAAAGAATCAAAGTATAGACTTCATGGATTTTGTTACAAATTAGGCAAATGGTGTCATTCCTATTTGTTTTTGTGACCCTTGAAACATACTTCCATCCGGGATCATTAGACCCCAAAATTTAGAGATTCTTACATTCTTGAAACTTGAAAGAGTGTACAAAATATAAATACAAAACAAAGGTGAAAAGGGGGGAAACCTCACTAAAAATTGAAATAAATATTGTGAAAACAAATAATAAAAGGAGCTACTAACTTACTAAACTTATTCTCAAACCTCAAATACTAGTATACTACATCAATTTTATTCTCAAACCCGACAAATATATAGTATATTTAATTTCAGTTTTTTTCACAAATGTCAAGCGCATACAAAAATCAAAAGTAATTGAAGTTAAAATAAAGAATAAATAAATAAAGAGGGGCTTTGGATCTGGACTGTGACTTCAACGCAGTCCAAGTCGACAAGTGATGGAGTTCTAGGGTTTTTTAAAAAAATAAATGAAATTTGGGTCGCTCTTAACGGGTCGGCTCCTGAAAAAACATCGTCTACTTCGACCAGCGGTCAATTACTCTAGGCGACATCTTTACGACAGCAACCAATTGTCACTAATCGATAAAAAATTAAAAAAAAATAAAATTTAAAGATGTGTAAGTGCATATTGGTATTAATCAACCCACGAATTTATGACAAAAAGAATTTTCCGGTAAAAATTGTGGAAAAATTGGGGTAGCTGAATCCATGAATGGAAAGCTATAACGCAGTACCTGTAACAAATGAACAAAAAAGAGCCAAAATAAAAGAGTCATACACCAAATCAAATCTCATATATAAAGATTCTTTCACTAGTTTTAAGAATCAAATAAGTCACTTAGTAAATTTGGATGACAAATTTGAAAAGCTATGTCAACAAAGAACGTCAATTTTAAGAGATGCATTTATTTGAATTATGGTTAATTGTAGTACACATATATGCTTAATAAATATGTGTGCTCAGACATAAATCAAGCATGTGAGGTTTACACATGATCAAACAATCAAGAAAGCATTTTTATATAATATTTAATATGAGCAGTAAACCTTGATGGCTCTGGTTAGAATTAAAGTACTATACCAAGAGAGAAAAATAGCAACGCAGAACATGAGTTGTAAGGAGATTCATTTCATTGAATTGTGCTTAATTATTAGAATACAAATATGAATACTTGTAAAGGGTTTCGGATTAGATTTTAGCAAAAATTGACCTTCTTACTATAAAATTGCTAATACGGCAAAAAAAAAAGTAAACTGGAGTAAACTAAAACTTTAAGTGGTATTGAATTACCTATTCCGATCTCAAAATTTGAAATTCCGAGTTGTGCTATTTCTGCCTTCGATTGAAATCCCTTTAAGAAGGAAGGAGACTTGGCAATTGTGCTTTCAAAAAGAGATTCAATCCCAAACAGACATTTGTAGAAGATTAGGCCTGAATTTGAAACAAAAAATGAGTACTAAAATTTTCACAAAGTCTTTGTAATTTTTAATTTCTACTTAAACAAACAATAAAAAACGAATCAAATCAATTGATCAAAGGATCACTGAAATAATTGGCACGAATATACCGATGACTGCTTTCTTGGTTTGGCTGGCTATTGATGCAGATTGTGGAATAACAACTTTTTGCCTAAAATGGATGAAGGACAGAGTAAATAACATTTCATAAGAACAATAAAAAAAACTAACACTAAAATCAAGTGCTAGTGAAAAGGAAATAGAGATCAAGAATTGACAGGAAAGATATACTATTTTTAAAACTGCAAAATAATGACAAAATCGACCTCGGTATCGATCGATAAACAAAGGAAAAGGAAATCCGATTTAGGAAATTTGGAATCAAAATTAAAAAATGCAGAAAATATTGCTCATTAACAGAATTTGAAGAATAACACGGACCTGTAAATGGCTCACAACATGCTATCTTGTCAAGCATAGCTCCTTCCTGAATTGGATGATTGTGTACAGAGCATCTTCCGAAAATCAAAGAGGACCATTTAGTAATCACATGTCATAATAAGAAAAATTTACTTATTACTCCACAACATAGTTATTTAAGGCGCGATGCACACCGATGCACAAAGGGGTGTGATGGAATAAATCAAAATGGATCTCTAAACTGTCTGTGCTTCTTTAATTAATGAAGTAGCAGTTAGTCAAGCAATGCGACTTTCAACGTTGAGCCGGGGGTCTCTTTGGAAATAGCCTCTCTACTTTCGAGTAGGGGTAAGGTCTGCGTACACACACCCTCCCCAGACCCTACTCTTGTGGGATTTAACTGGGTTGTTGTTGTTTATGTCTAGAATATTTTTATATTGAGTAAATTACTCATCAAAACTGAAATTGGAAACCAATGTTCGTTTTCAACAATATGCTCATAAAGAAAATTGCCATCATTTATTTAAGAAAGAAATTAAGCAAGTGGCATGAAAGTAAGGTGAAACGGCTAGAGAAATGATTTGATTATCATAAATATACACTTATGTTGTAAAGATTTATCCTTACTCAGGAAATCAGTGCCTAAAATATCCATGCCATTTTACGAAGTACTATGTCAATGACATCCAAAGCTATATCAATGATAAGGCTAAGAGTCTGATCAAAATTAACAACAAATCCAAAGGGGATGCATAAGCAAAACAGTCTAGGCTGCTGGATTAAAATGTCAAAGCCAAAATAGTCTATTGCATGTGTTTAAAAAGACAAAATAACATCTTCTAGTTCCTATCAGTATTCTACTAAATTTAAAATACAAAAGCCACTATAATAAATTAAAAGTCCTTACCATTAGTTTGATCAAACCCAAGACCCCAATGACAGTCCTTACTATTTCACATATATGCTACTCCCTCCGTCCGGGAATAAGCTTCCTACTTTGACTTTTCC